CCCCCCCCCCCCCATATTAGATGGCAATCCAACATCATGTCATGACATTAACCTTTTAGTAAGGTTCACTGAAAGTAATGCTACTAAGTAATATTTACTGGAAGCAGTAACCCAACTACTTCCTGTTTGATAAGAAAGCGTAATCACACCACTCACTTGGAGCTTCATCAGGTCAACAAGGATCCTGGTTATTGGGTTGCTTCTTCTCTATCCTCAGAAGAATAATTCAGCAAGAAAACTGGGCCATCTGGAAGTTTTTCCAGAAGAGACGGAAATTCCATCTTGGAATTAAAATCCAAATTGAATAAATGATTTCCACTGTCCTAGGCTAGTAAATAAATAAGTCCTGCTCAGAATACCACAGCAAGATAACAAGATTTTTGGAAACCCAACATTACCCAGATATAGGTAATCCTTGATTTACAACAATTTATTTCGTGATCATTTGAAGTTACAATGGCACTGAAAAAAGTGACTTCTCACCATTTTTCACACTTAACGACTGTTGCAACAGGATCAAAATTCGGGACTTGGCAACTAGCTTGCAATGTGAGCAACATTTGTAGCCTTCCCAGCTGCTTCCAACAAGCAAAATCAATGAGTGAAACCAGATCCCCTTAACGACCACATGAGTCACTTAACAACTGCAGCAATTTGCTTAATAACTGTGACCAAAACATTGTAAAATGATGTGCAACTTAATAACTGCCCTGCTTAGCAATGGAAATTTTTACAAAAGTTCTGTTCGTAAGCTGAAGACTACCTGTCAAGGATTTAAGATTAGTTTCCTAAATAAAGCAGAATTTAGTGCAAAATCATATATCACTATAGTAATCACAAATATAAGGACAGATCAGCTGCAAAGATTTTCTATATATTTAAAACTATTAACATCACAAGTCCATCTCCGTAAGAATTTTTAGTATTATCAAAACACCGTTTTGGTATTTTTGGTATTTTTTCCAAATGCATTTCTGCTTGGTGGGTATATAAAGATGAATACGATGCAGTAACTTTCTAATCCTATATAGCATTACATCTTAGTGTGTTCCTGTGAAATAAGCAGGATGAATATGAAAAGTCACTTGTGTGCTATCATTTGCATTTAGGACTTACAGTAGGTATCTGCTCCAAGCCATTGTACAATGCTGCAGCAGTATAAGGAATGAGAGTTTCCACTGCTTACAATCTAACAACTCTGCAGTTTTGCAGAAATAAATGTTTCAAATTGTTGTATGGTTATTCAGAGTGGCTCACCTGTTTAGGTGCAAACTGAAAAACAGTCTCAGGCAAGGAAAAAAAAACCTAACCTATTTTTTGCTCCACATGTCTTTCTCTTGCCTGAGAGCAAAAGAAAATGTGAAGAAAATAATGCAAAGCAAATGTTGCTACTTTATAACCCTTTTTAGTGGGATATGACTGGATTGAGATAAACATGTAACTGTTTTAATTGTCTTATGGAAATACAGTTGGGGGGGGGACCTCAAAACAAAAGATAAGTAGAGTATCAAGAACAGGATAGAAAGGGTGCTATAAGATGTACAATTAAGCCAGATGTTATAATATTAGAAAAAAAATGTTGCTGCAGATTGATGGGAACACAGTGACAGTTGTGAATGACATCTGAGGACCATTAATGACACCTGAGACAAATGTTTTAGAAACCTGCTTTGCTTACTCTGATTATGAAAATATTGGAAGATTTTAATAAAATTGTTCACCAGATAATTGCCAAACAGCAGCATCTATGGGACGGAGAAGGGAGATAAAAGTAGGATCATACTAATACAATGGAAGTGCCACCCTTTCTGTTTATGCATTGTGGACTTTGTGCAGATATGAAAAAGTGGAGCTTCCATCACAACAATGTGGCACAGCTTTCATCGGTCTGACAACAGCAATGGATTGTGCAGACTACTCTACAGTACTGCCAATGCCCCCCTATTCAAAAATAGTTGAGGTCTAGGTGGGATAAACAGTTGGGCATCAACTGTTCTTCAAGGTAATGAGCAACTACTTGGACAAACTATTTACCCTTTTAAAAATATCTGGAGCCCATCCACCCCCTGAGATTGTGTGTGAAGCAACAACACATACCTTAGCACTAGCTGGAAAAATAGGCTCTGTTCTGAGCTGGAAAAATATAAAGGAAAGGAGACCACATCATCCTTGCTTAGACCTTGACTGAAAGTTAACTGAGAGGACAGCTAAGATACTGCACCTTTCTATGTGGTCTACATTCAAAACAGAACCTCAGATGCTTTCAGTCATCCAAACAAGAGTCCAGAGAAGGAGGCAGGGTCTGATAAGCTTGGAGAAGGCAGAGACTGATCCTTGTACTGCTCTAAGCAGACTTCCAGTGTCAGAACCAGTGCTTGTAAGTGATATGGAACAGGTGACTGTGTTGCATACAAGTCTTTATAGTGCTGAAAGAAAATTATGTTTCTTTCCTGGCTTCCTATAAGAGAGCAGACACAGGAAAAGAGATTTCCATATTTAGCAGTCAACTTGGGCTTACCTGGATCACTAGTTTATTTTCTTTATTTGGTAGAATCCTGTAAGTATATACGCAGTTCTGATACCTGGAATGCATGAAGAGAAAACATTAAGATAGTTCAGGAAAAAAAATCATCTTGGGAAACCATCTAATATTCCGAACAGTCCCCAGAATTGTTTATAAGGTATGCATCCACTCTAGTTTTCCCTATGAAAGGGTTCCTGTCAGTTCTCAGACACTATACTTTTAGTTCTATCTTGCCAATAGCAATCTACTGCTAAAGGCTTTTGTCCTTTAAAAACCCCTCTTTTTGTTAAAAAAAAAAAAAGTCTTGTCAACCTTCTTTTTTTCCATGATGTAAGAATAGCTAGAGTATTTCAGTAGAGTATTGTAGGATTTTGATCTGAAAAGATTTCAATCTTGATATCTATTTCCATTTTTCCTCACATATTTGTAAAAATAAATCTGAAGATTCATGTTAATATTTTGTCCCCAAGAACATTGTTTTTAAAGAACAGAAATTCCCAAAGCTTTGATTCACGTAACAAATTTCAAGCTTGTTTTTTAAAAAAATTTAAAATAAAAATATTTTTAGTATCAGAAAGTACACACAAAGTAATAAACAAAGCATCTCTTGTCATCTGCATGCTGCCTTTTCATTTTTGACCATGAAACAATTTCCAATCTTTTTAAGAGCAGTTGTCAAATTAAAGTCAAAGGGTACTTGGAAAATCATTACAATGAAAGGGCTGCACCTGAAAATCAGCTGACAAAGCTATTTTTCACTCAGCTATAAAGGAAGAGAAAGTAGCTGCTGGTTGTTTTACATAAGCAGCCTGAATCACAGAATCAGTCATCTGTATATCAATGTGCATAATTATTGCACATGCATTCAAATCCTTCCCTTCCAAATGGAATGGAAGAGGGCTCTTGACACAAATGGCTTGGCTTCCTCTGGCTGGATTGGATTCACATTTTTCTCCAATTAGGAACTCTCTCCAGTTGGTGTGCTGATGCTTCAGCTGCTGAAACAAATTGTGCACTGAATAAATGCCAAAGGTGCACTGAATAAATGGCAAAAATGACATATATTGGGTTTCAAATTGCCAGACATGCAATCTGCATTTTTAGTTTTAAGTTGCTAAAGATTCATTGACTGCATTTCCACCAGTGGTTACCCTGATTATTAAATGCAAATGTATGCCTTCAAAGGTAATAATACTATGGAATTTCTCACAAAAAAACTGCTTTTCGCTTGTTTCTTTGAGACCTATTATGCCAATGATTTCTACCTATCACTATCTACAAAAAAAACCCCTCATGAATTGATTTAGGTTTGTTTTTTTGATCAATACGTCATAGAATATATCCTTAACAATATCGTCACGATAACTTTTAAAATTTTCCTAATATGTGAATGATACAACTTTTCCATTGCATTCATTAACATTTTATACTCTATTCTTCTTTATTTTTACTTATAAATCTGAGTTATCTGTTCTTTATCTTAAATAATGCTTTTCATTTGTGAGTGGAATAACCTTGCTACAGTAGAAAAAGATTTGTGTTTGCACTGTATTCTGATAGCAATATTCATAGTGTGGCTAAGAACCTTATAGGACCTTGTGCCTTATATCAGTATAGTTAAGATGTTTAATAGAAACGATGTTTAAGTAGAAAAAGTAGGAAGCCTCCTGTTTCAAAAGAATAGAATTAGCAGAGAGCAGCATTGCCTTGTACAAATTTCATAAAATTTTAACATAATTCCAGCACATTCATAGCTTTAAAAAAAATGCTGGTACAAATTTACTGATTGGCCTGGCTTCACGAAAAACATTTCAAGTCACAATTTTAGGAAAAGTTGCAATTTCAAAGTAAATTTCTCAGAGGGGAAAAATAAAAATTGGGAAATGACAGAGGAATAGAAATAAGAGATAATGTAGTCTCTTTCATAAAACTCTGAACGAGGGAAGGTAGTCACACAAGGCAATCTAGAAGGCTCTTCTGAAACAGCAAAAGGAAAGAAAACTATGGATTTGTTTTTCATCAGAGTTGTTACTGAAATTCAAATTTAATTTTAAAAAAGATGTTCAATAATATCACTCTGAGAAATATCATTTTGTTCCAGGCCCAACTATACTTTTATAGTCACTTTAAAACAAATCTGCAGAATCTTTGGAGGCAACTTCTGCTAACTTCAGATCAACAGTTTGTTTCTGTATCAGAAAGAGTGGAGGGATAGGAGAGCCACTTTATTGAAATGAGGCAAGACTGAAATAAATACTGCATGTGCAGATTCCTCCTCCAAAGTGTAGACTTTGGCCACAAGAGAGTTATGCAGTTCTGAATCTGATACTAGTGTAGTGTAGTTTGCAGCAAGATTAGGATTAAACACATTCTAAAACTGAGAGGGCAGGACTATAGAGTTTCCAGTACTGGGGGATTAGACATTTCCCCCTTCTTTTTCCAATTGTGAAATTGACAGAAACAGTCTTTTCCACAATGCAATTAGGGGCATGGAAAATGGTTTCTGCTTCATGCCAGTGGAAGTTTTAATCCTATTGCTAATTGTGACCTGTACCATCTTCATTAGGAGGGAAAAAAAAGGTGGAGCTCTTTCCAGAAAGTGGAATTTTTCTGCCAAGCACTTAGAATTGGTGAGAGAAGAAGTTGGTTTACTTGCAAGCCTTCTTTTTAGAGGCAGGACTTTAGAGTGTGATATTTTTATTGAAGAGGAAAGGTCCAACTTTCCATAAAAAAGTTAAAATACATTTATTTATTTATTTATTTATTTATTTGTTAGTTATAATTTATTTGTCATAATAATTATAATTATTATATGAAGAGCCAGAGAATTTATAATAAAAACAGACCTGCTTCCATCTTCTGTAAGACTGCCACACAGTCTTAAAATTTTGTATAGCACTAACCAGAGGACCTAATTCTCACCAAATTTAGGCTTGTTGGGTTGACATAAACTGATAGTTTTGCAGGCAGCACTGCAGCAACCGGAATAGGCTGAAGCATGCAGCCCAGTGACAGAAAGAGGCAGGGATTAGCCACTGCTGTCCAGAAGAGCAAATCTACTCAGGAGTATGTATGTATGTATCAGACCCTAACACATCACCCAAACTCAGGGCTCTGAGGAGAACCAAACCAAAAACCCAGGCATTGTAACAAGATTAAAGGATTAAGTTCAGGGTTTGGGTTTTGGTTCTTCTCAGAGCCCTGAGTTTGAGTGATGTGTTAGGTTCTGATAGGGTTGAGCAGGAATGCCTAGAAATAGGGGAAAAGACTCATCTCCCAAATGCCAACTGCACAGTTTGCAAAACAGAAGTTTGTACCATTGGTTTGAGATGGACTTTTTGTTTAATCAAATAGTATTCCACATGAGAGTTGTATCATGTCATAATCATGTCTCATTCACAAAATTGCTTCTCGCTGCCTAAAAAGCCTCTTAAGCAAGAAGAGGGAAGATGCTTGCACAATGCCTTTTAATTGTAAGGCTATCATATATGTTTCATAATCACATACACAAACTTTGCTTTTCAGCTTTTTGGCTCATATCTTCACAGGTATGACCTGAAGGCCAGACAAGGAATAATGGATGGAAACTGATCAAGGTGAGATTCAACCTAGAAATAAGGAGAAATTTTCTGACAGTGAGAACAATCAACCAATGGAACAGCTTGTCTTCAGAAGTTGTGGGTGCTTCATCACTGAAAGCTTTCAAGAAGAGATTGGATAGCCACTTGTCAGAAATGATATAGGGTATCCTGTTTGAGCAGGGGGTTGGACTAAATTACCTATAAGGTCCCTTCCAACTCTGTTAGTCTATATTCTGTATTTTTTAGCCACTACCACTAATGATAAAAATTACTACAATAAAAACAATGGAGTAGAAATTTCAGAAAATGTACCATATGCAACTCAAATAAAGTACAAAATTATCCCAAAATACAATCATACTTTGAATGATTTCATTAGTTTAAGTAAACATTTATAGCCTTGGATTTTAATATTTGACCAGATAATGTTGTAAATCAAGATAAATCACTAAATTGATGGAAACGTTTAATCATTTTATAAGAGGATACCTTTTAAATATTTGCCATTAAATAAAGAAGATAATGAGCAAATATTTCTTTTATATATGATAATGGAATGTATAGCTTTTGTCATTTTTCATCTGTGAAGCTCTCTGAGAATAGAGCATTAAGAATAGTGATGGGATCCATGAATACCTTGAAAAAGTGGAACTGAAATGTAGATAAAATGTTCCTTTCAGCCTCTAGTAAAGCTGAGAAGGCATTTCCTGCTGTGTTTAAAACTGAATTTAGGACATTATTTAGACTTTATATGGTTTCAATTAAAAAAAAAGACCATCAAAAATTTTCAGGGTTAGTCAACCTTGGCTCTTTTATGACTCGTGGACTTCAACTCCCAGAATTCCTGACCCAGCTGTGCTGGCTCAGGAATTCTGGGAGTTGAAGTCCACGAGTCATAAAAGAGCCAAGGTTGACTACCACTGATTTAGATGATACATATATATATAATGTATAACTTTTAGTTTAGTTTTTTTTTAAAGTCTAATGGTAAATTGATTTTATGGGGGATACCCAACTTTAAAAATTGGATCAAAGATGGTGATATGGAAAAATTGGATGGAAATGGGGAAATTGACTTTGGACCAACTATTACATTGTGTTAAAAAATTCATTATCTATCAGGTGGTCCAAAGTACACATCAGATATTGAAATATTTACAGCTACAATATTTGCTAACATTATTTGGACTAGCAGCATTTTCAGTTTCTGAGACATCTGAGATAATAGAACAATTTGTTAATTCCTTTAAATTTAAAAATTATTATTAGATATTTGTTATCAATCACTCAATTTGATATGCAAGTGCTAAGAAAAGAGTGGAATAAAGAATTAGGGTTCCTATATTGTCTAGACCAGGGCTTTTCAACCTTTTCACAGATTGTACCACTTTTAGGACATGACAATTTTTGAGTACCACCAGTGCTTAGCAAGGTTTCAAAAATTTGATGACTAAAAAAAAGGGGGGGATTTTGGGTTTTACTGATTAGATTCATTTGTTGTTATAGAAATGGCTAGTTTATAATATTATGAAAAAGTAAAAAGTTGAGGTTCAATGTTAATGCTTCCTTCTACTGCAACAGAGGAAGTCTATTCTTTTTCCCTTCTCCCCCTCACTTTCCCCCCCTTTTTCCTCCCCACTGTGTCCTACTATTTGCTTTTGTATTTTTGTATTTTATTCTATAATCTAATAAAATATTACAAACTGTAGAAAAAAAGAAAAAAGTACCAGTTTTAATTTCTTCAGTGGCTGTTCCTTTGCTGAATCACTTTCCCTTTGCACTGACAAATGTATGATGAATGTATCTATGTTTATTAATATGCACCACTACCAGCTAGCTCAGGGGTCTTCAAACCTGGCACTTTTAAGACTTAAGAACTTCAACTCCCAGAATTCCTCAGCCCTCATGGCTGATTGAGGAATTCTGGGAGTTGAAGTCCACAAGTCTTAAAGTTGCTAAGTTTGTAGACACCTGAGCTAGCTGGTCAGCCCTTCTTCCTCTCTCCCTTCTGAGTGTAGTAAGAATGCACCCCCAATCCCTTCTCTGGAGCCTGAAAAACACAGGAATCAAGTGCAAAGCAAGAAAGGCTCACAAAATAAAGAAACACATAAACTCCGGGGTTTTTTTCTTTAAGCTGCCTCAGGCGTGTCACGTGTCACAATGTTGCAATCCGAGACTGAAAGGCTTCGGCAATTGCAAAAAGCTTTAGCCTTAAATTAAGCCTGTTTACCTTCAAATAAAACTTTCTAAAAACCATAGACAGACTCAAGATAAGAGGGTAAAACTAATTACATTTGTTTAAAGGAATTAAACCTACGGAAGTCAACACTTTGGACTCATTGCTAGCCTAAAATACAGACTAAAATATTCCAATAACCAAAGCACACAAACGGAGCCTCTGAATTACAAAACGCTGTAAAAACTGTACAAAAATCCTTATGGTAACCCAATCAAGCTGCCAGATGATCTAGAACTAAATAAACCCACCTCCTTTCTGATATGTTCATCTGCGGGCGTCAGCACTGATTGCATTCTGCTAGTTGGAGAAAACGAACTAGGGGACCAGCTTCTTCTTCTTCCCTGTTTCTTTTTCCTCTCTGCCTGCTGTGCTCCCCTTCTCTTTCCCTGTTGTCTTTTTTTCCCTTCCCCGCCCAAACCATCTCCTTTTATAGCCTCTCCTCTCCTCCCTCCGTTTTTCTTCAATTCATCTCCAGCTCCGCACTGCTTCTGGAAGTGCCAATCAGCTGGAGCCCTGCTGGCTCCTGGGGTTTCTGCCGAGCCCAGACAGTCCTGCAGCTGTAGCTGCCTCTCCCTCAGGCTTGGGTCGCTTCGGCTCATTCCCCTCCCCTGCTACACTTCTCTAGGACAGTCGCTCATGTATCACCTGCCACGAGGCAAAGTGCCACAGGTGGTACACGTACCACCAGTTGAAAAGCCCTGGTCTAGACAATGGGAAAGTGTCTTCTGTAGCAGGTGTGTCAAATTGGCAGCCCATGGGCCGGCATCACGCACAGGCCATGCCCACCCTGGCTCTGCAAAGGCAAAAAATGTTGTGATACATCACAAAACGTTACGTGATGCAATCGAGTTTGACACCAGCGTTCTATAGCAAGATAGTGAATGGATCTCAAACTTACATAACAAAATATTAGAATTTATTGGATTCCATTACATTTGTATAGAAAAGAAATCTGAAAACCAGCATTTTATTGGAGATGTAATAAGGATAATACTTCTTTAAAATGCAATTTTTTTACAATGCCCCATACTTACTTAATTTGGGGAGTAAGTAGTGCATTATATAAACATGATTGTGTGATAGAAGCTAAAATGTTCAGAATATAATATTCTCTTGAGCTACATACCTAGTACATGGAATTTGACAGCTGATCAACTAAACAGATTCTTTGTTGCATTTTTCACTTTTAAAAAATACTTTCTATGGATTTTTTCTTTGACAATGAATATATTTTTATTATTATCATTATATTTTGTTCTTTTCTTTTTTATTATTTTAAAATCATTTTTGTTATCATTTTAAAAGCAATGAAAATAAACATTTTTTAAAAAGAGCTGGAAGAACTAAAATTTCAAGATCCCAGTAATATAATATCAGATAAAGGTTTCCCCAGGTTTTAAATATTAAATTATTTAATACCTATTTTATTGTTAATTTTAAATGAGGTTTAAACCTTTTTTATTTAATGAGACAATCAAGAATATTCACCAGAATAGAAAAGCAGTGTATTAATCAAATAAGAATGACACCAGGTAATTTACTAAAGCGTATATTTAGTACTAGAAACTGGATTTATATTCATTTAGGGCATTTTAAAAATAACTTGATTGGCGAAAATTGTTTCAATGGATGGCTATAATCCTGCTGTAAAAGGTACGGATCTGCTTAAGATATTATTGAAAATTTCCCACTCTCCATTCAGGGAGAGTTTCAGTATTTCATTTTTTTTGCATGAAAGAAACCTTTTGGCAAGAAGTGAAACACCTTGAGCAGATCAACACTTGCCTAAACCAAGGAACTAAATATTGAATTATCTTATATTTTTAAATTAGATTGCCTCGCTCAGAATGCTACCAATTCAGCTCAATACCAGCTCAGAAATTCCTTGTTCTAAAAATGACTTTAAACTATTGTATTTCCTTCTAACAGTCTAGAACTATTACCTGGAGATAATTTTACGGAAATTAGAAATGGATTTCAGAATATTATTTAATGAAGCATTAACTACAGGTGTGGTCAAAAAACTCAAAATAGTAGCCATGACTATGCAATTGAAGCTATGGCTATTTTTTTAATACATTGACCATACTCTGTGGACACCCTAATTTGTTTACTTAAATATTACCTCTACTCTTTGTCCACTCAGGAATTCAACCTGGTATGCCAAGTATCAATTAACCTGCTGATAACATCTTTAACAATTATAAATTTTATTTAATTATCAAATTAAAATGTCAGAACAAATCACATTGTGGCCTAGCACTAGGAAGACCCTAATCTAGGCACCAGACAACCGTTTTTAGAGGAGTTAGTTAACAGCATCAAGTAGAGATATAATATATGTCAAAACACAGAGAAAAGAATTTAGCAAACAATACTAGTATTTCTTTACTAATCAGACTATATTCTCCAGCAGTTCTACAGTAAATACTAAGATTAATTGTCCTTTTGATTTCTTATACCCTCTTTACAAACTTTTTCTTATTCATCAGGTAAAATCAAAGATTATTTGATCATAATAAGCTATAATGTATATATTTGTATGAGTGGATGCTTTAGTTTTGATAAAACATGTTTAAAATTTTGTTTCATTTACTGTAACCTTTGAACCAACCATCATAATAGGACCATCACCAACTCCAGTGAAAATATGAGTTTATCTCACTCATAATTCAGAGGCTTTATTTGGAATTAATCAGCTGTTCATTGAAAAAAAGTATTTTTAAGGGCTACAGTACTAAGGATCAACAACATCTTTCAGTCATCTATTATTGAATTTCTGCTATAGAGTGCAGTGGAAAAGGAAACATTCCTGGCAAAAATGCCACTTTTCTGCATAATTTTTTTTCAATAACTTGTGTGAGAGGGTCTCTGTGTATGAACAATTTAGAATTAGAACTGGTTTTTGATCATTCCTAGTTCTTCACATGCAGAACAAAAGTTGCACAATTACAAGAAGAAGGCACTTGTGCCCCTTAGATTTTGCTGAACTTCTGTATCCAGGAAATCTTGAAGGATATAATTTGCCTATCCTTCCACTGCTGAATTACAACATTTACATTAACTGACTTTCTATATAATTAAATAGTCTGGATAGAAAAGAACGATTTTCTTCAGATGTTTTCCATATATTCCCAGGTATATACTCCACCAGCATAACCCCCCCCCAAAGCAATATCTCATTAATCTAAGTAAGGTAAATCAGGTCAACATCCTTTATCCAGTCTTTGCATACACAGTATGTATAATTACATCAATCATACCTCAGTTCCTAAGAAAATTTGGTTCCTGGGTGCTAAATCTAGTGGTTAGTCTGACCTCAGTTTGCTAAAATGAAAACAACAAGAAGATGAGATCTTATGGCTAACTCCATAAATGTTCTAAAAATTACCTTTTGTCCAATGCCTACCTTTAAATATGTTTATTTATTATGAAATTTATTTTACCACATTTCTGGTAAATATGTTACCATTTTTTCAGATAATTTATTCTAGAATGATACTTAATTGGCCAAGTACTTTTAATGCTTCTTCCACACTCTTAACTGAACTCAAGTGTCATCACCCATCATACAGAGACAAGACCCTTCTTCCAATTCTCTGTGAATTAAATCAGTAAAAGAGCAGGTGAACGGAGGCAAATCAACAGCCATACTCACAGCAAACAGAGGGCGTAAGCTGAAGAGACAGACTCACTGGCCCGGACGAGAAAACTTCCATCCTTGCCCACTTTAGAAAGTAAGTCCTCAGCTTTTGAACGAGTGATGCTTCCATGGTACCAGCACTGATCCATGCCTTGGATTTAAAAAAGAAAAAACCCAAAATATAAAATAAAACTTGAAGAAACATTAACTACTCAGACAGCAGTTAAGAAAAGATCTCAAAGTTGTCTGTTCACAGAGCTCAGCAGCTGCTTGCTACTCACTCAGCTTCCTGTTTAATGGTGGAGAGAGACAGAGAGAGAGAGAGAAAGGAAACAGAGCAGAGAACTTCCTCATACAAATTAAGCCAAATGAAATGGGACAACCACACACACACCTCCCCATTCACTCTCTCAATGCAACTATACAGTGCTGCCTTCACCAAGTAGTTGGGATTTCATCTTAGTTCTTCCTTTCAACTTTGCAGAAATTTGAAAGGATTAGCTTATTCTTAGAACATTGCCCCTAAATTAAATTGTCATTATAAAACATGACAGTCTAATTTCTTCATTTACCCTGCTTCTGTTTTCCTTGCTCCTCATCTATTATATCTGACTTACTGTGTGAGTTTTCATACAGCGAGCGGAGAGAAAAATGAGTAAGTCTCCAGGGATATCAATAGGAGCTAATTGTGGCTAGTGATTCTTGATTGTGCTGGAAGAGTTTAACCTGCTGATAAAGAACAGACCATCTCTGAATATCTACTTAGGACATTCTGGCTTCTGTACTAACTTTAGATTATCCCAAATAATGGATCAATACTTGGATAATCTGGAAAAAAATATCTGACCCTGCACTTATGGGACATGCCAGCAAGAGAAAATAAGTGTCCTAGTATTTGTGACAGAATGAATGTAGTCTCTGATATGAGTCAGTTAGACTGAAACACTTTCTCTGGTGTTCAGTATCCACGAATCTCTTCCTTTAATAATTGTGCTGTTTCCTACTCCCTTTGCCTCTGTAACTGCAGCAAACATGCATATCCTTTAAAGCTAGAATTTTGATTAGTAACTGATTTTTGTACAGATTTTTCCTTATGCTGCTGAAGTTGCCATAAAGTTTGTTTTGTACTTCTCATTTACGTATTGTTAGCTGCCTTGAGAGTTCAAATGGAGTAGAAAGATAGGATAAAATGATATTAAAAAGGCATGTGATTTTTTTTTACTGGGTTTCTGGTAGTATTCATATCTCCACATCTCCAAATGTATGGTCTAAAATTTCCTGTAAAACCTTTTCTCTCTCATCTAGAGGAAGCCATGGTGTTGTCCTCAGCAATTCACAAGGCGGGTTGGGCTCTATATCTGCCATTGCCTCTGATTTTGCTGACATGTGAAGAATAGCAGGTGGACCAAAGCTCTTGCTCCAGTGTTTCTCCTCCAGTTAATCTTTCCAGTTGGTTGTTCATTGCAGCATCCCTTTGTTTTACAAAGGACCTCAAAGGGATTTAGCAGTAGGCCAGATTATTTAGGTGCCAAGATAACTACTATAGATTATTTTTGGAACATTGTGTGATGATGGAAGTTAGAAAGATATTTCCCTCCTGTTGCCATAGAGCTGGAAATGTGCCCTCCAGCAAAATTATTATTCTTTCCAATCCAGTGGAATGTTGGAAAGAAACTATAAAGGGGTGTTGGGACTCAAACTGTCTGCAGAATAATTTTCTGAACAGAATAGAACTAAATTCGGCATGGATGGAGAAACTGGCAAACAAAAGGTTGAGTTAATACTTGGCTGGGTCAAGTCAGGATCTACCCAAGGCAAAGGGTGCTAGGGGGCTGAAACATTCCTCCAGTGCCTCCCCTGGGAGAGGCTCCAATGTTGTGACTGCTCCATTCTAAGCCTCCCCTCATTTTTCCTTCCTGGTCATATGACTGAGAGCAGAGCAGCCCCATGCTTTCCAATGAATACATACAAACAGAAACAGATGGAACATAAGAAAAAGAAGGAAGAAAGGCAGAGATGTATAACATACGCCCATTCTTGATAAAAAAAAATTGGAAAGATTCCCAGAAGCCACAACTGGTGGTTTCCTCATCTTCTTCCAAATTATGCAAAATTTGGTGTATTTAACGGATCCCTTTTATCAGTACAATTTGGTTAAGATGGCTCAAAGTAAAGATGGAAACGGCAATCAACCACTTACTGTATGTTTCCTAGCTTGAGTAAAGAATGCATTTCTCACAGTGAGTTAAATGCTATGAAAAATCCAAATGAAGGCTTTTTAATTTTTTTGAGCGATCAGGTGCATCATAGATTTTGGATTAGGTTCAAGCAGAGATTGAGTTGGTAACATGAACTTTGTCTGATGTTTATCTAAAGGCTAAGATCAAAGGCTGAACCTTATTAATTCTCTTGCATTTGTTCTGAGACCTTCAGTGCTACAAACTAAGAACAAGATTTGGATGAGATTCTTTACAAATGAGTTCCAGAGTGTACAGTGGGGAGAAAAGCTTGTGCTATATTTGGTAAGAAAGCTGACAGGTCAATAATATTTGCATAACTGTAAAATCTGTGGTTTCCTGTCTGCAGTGGATAGCAACTGTACTAAAGACAATGTCCCAAGTGTTTCAAGCAGGGGTTGCAAGGCATGGAGTAAAACTAATTTTAAAAACATTGAATGACTGGATTTTGCATCACCACTATATATTCAAGGAACTGTACGTTCTATAACATTTGTTCAGGCACAACAATAAGGAACCTTATTATTATTCTGTATTTTGAGAATAAGAAAAGATATGTCATCTGAAGAGGTCTTGAGATTGCTGTTGCTATAGATTCAGTACTATAAAGCTGCATAAGGTAGCAGCATAGGCCAGTGAGACAAAGTTCCATAAGGCTTCCATGGAGTGAGAATATATAAAGAGCTAAATAGTAGAGCTCTGAAACAAACAGGTATATTGTTTAAGATTTACAATCTTCTACCGTAGGGTAATCATGTCCATAATCACATAAAGGAATTTTGCAAACTAATGTCAAAGATATAAATGGCTTATTTGTTCAGCCTTTTGAGTTGGAATTTTGTTGAGCTTTGTGCTGTCCTAAAAGCAGCATTGCTGCTGGATAAGCTGGCAAATATGATTTCAGCATATGATATTGTGACACTTTCATGAGGCTTTACATAGCCACTTATACTAAATGATTCTATTCCATCTCATTTTCATATTAATGTTCTTATTCTCGAATAACATCTTGCTTTATAGATGGCTTGTGGCAGGTGTTTATATTATCATGCCATCAGTAAAATACATGTAATATTTCAAACACTTCCTATAATTAAACAACTCTCCATTGGCCCACTGTAGAATGGATATGAGGTTATATTAACTAGCATATGTTCAGTGGGGTACTAGCAAACAAGGTAGACTTCAAATTATTTCCTTAACACAGGGGTCTTCAAACTTTGCCCTTTTATGACTTGTGGACTTCAACTCCCAGACTTCAATTCTGGGAGTTGAAGTCCACAAGTCATAAAAGGGCAAAGTTTGAAGACCCCTGCCTTAACATGTATGGACTTTTTCTGCTGTAATGCTGAGAAGTTGCATTTCAAGAGAAATAGATGTAATTATGTAAATTAGGACAGATTTCTTAAGAAACCATGTGTTGCCAAACCTACCAATTTTCTAAGAACTGATGCCCTTACTTTATTATTATTATTATTATTATTATTATTATTATTATTATTATTATTATTATTATTATTATTATTATTATTATTATTATTATTATTATTAATTATATTTTTACCCCGCCCTTCTCCTTGCGGACTCAGGGCGGCTAACAGCCTAATAAAAACAGATACAAAAATACAAAAATACTACCATTAAAACATAATTAAAAGGAAATATTAATTTGGCCTTTGTTATTTTAAAATTGTTTTAAAACCCAACTTTAGAAGATAATGCAAAACTATACTCAAATAAAAACAAACAAACATCTAACATCAGATACTTTCTTCCTGAGACTTCTAATAATAATTTCATTGTAGCTATATTTTGCAGTGGTTCCTAAGTTGAGTCCTACAAAAAGAGGCTGATGGCCCAAACTGCTGGCAGTTTCTTGGTTGAAATAATTAAGTGAAAATGTTAATCTGAAAAGAAAATATTACTATTAGTGCAATCATTATATGAAGGACGAATGGGCTATATATATAAAAAAATCTAGTAACAATATTTACACATCAAAGTCACTCTGTCATTCAGTGTGATACATGAACCCAAGCATTCTTGTTTGTAAACCATGACTTATTGTAGTATAGTTCGTAATGCTATAGTTTTTTGATTCTTAACAAACCATTGTTAAAAGAAACCTGCTTTGCATGATGTATAAATGCTCTCTATAGCTAGACATAGTAATTCAATTTTATTCCCATTTATTCCTACTGTGTGAGATGGGTAGCCATATAAATTTCTTAAATAAATAAAATATTCATTGCCCTTATTCAACTCAAAGCTATTAATAGTTTCTTTTTGTAAATGACACCATCTGGGCTATATAAGAAGCCACTTATATATCTGAATGAAGATCACACAACTGCTCTTAAAATATTGTGCTATTTTTCTTAATAATTTAACCATAATCCTATAGTATCTGAATTTTGTTTTTTATTCTGCATCTTCCCCCAATTTGCTTGCCTATATGCATTCTTTTTTTTATTTTATTTTTTATTTTTCCAAACTCTCCCCCATACATATACTGTGATATTTATCAGATATTAACATACATTCTTTTTACATTCTTATATATAAGATACTTTTAATGAAATAAATACATGCACATGACTTTTGGTGTTGCTCGCCCATTTCCCCTTTTACTGCATCCCCACTCCTTCTTCTCTACCTTCTTTCTCCATTCCTTCTCTTTCTTCCCTACTTCCCTCTTCTTCCTCTCCTCTCCT